TTTAAATCAATATAGCAAAATAAGAGGAATTCAATGATCAAGATTTCATTAAAATATTATAAAGCCTTATCAACCTATTACGACTACTTAAAATTTCACACATTTCATTGTTGTTGTATATTCATGTACTTAAATAATAGATATTAGTTTTAGTAATTACTTGGTAATAATGTTTAAAATCTTGAAATTTTTATTTAATATGTAATTTATTTATTGTATACATATAATATAGAAAAAAATGCAGGTACAAATAATTATTTGATATTTATAAAACGTATCATCGCATTATTAAAGTATTCCACTTTTTTATAGCATAGTTGCTGTTTTCGCTATAAAAAAATTCTTCCTTTAGTAAATAATTAAATATGGTGACGGCCCATTAGATTATTTCGGAAACTACTTCGATTTGAATTTTGAAAATTTGGGACCTGGTGGTTTTGGAGGTTTTATTTAAAGAGAGTTTAAATAAAATAATGCCATTGTCGTAGTACTTCCGGTTATACCGGTAGTCGCCACCTATTTGCTTATTATAAATGGAACATACTGTATATTTTTGCATATTTGGATTCTACGCGTAATTTTAGGGGAATTTTATAAAGCTTCCCTATATCTACCTCTAATGGTCTAATGGACTTCGATCTATTTCAATTTCATATTGTCGAATTTGATTGACCGAACCGCCAAAACTTGTTTTTTCTAAATGAGACACCCTGTATATTTAATCAAAATCTGTTGTAGAAATTTACTCCATATCTATCAATATTACACCTCCCTATACCTATCTTTTAATTTTTCTGTTTTTGTGTTAAATAAAATGATCCAATTTCTTGCGAGGATGGTTATGAAATTGCTAGCCATAGAAAGCGAGATATTGAACGCCGAAGCGCACGCGCTCTCATTGATCGCGCGATTTCAAGTTAAGCCTCTTTCTGAGAACTATTTTTTAATACTTTGGTATATATTCCAACCCGCAAAACCGCTTCACGAAAGTAATTGTTTATAAAGTCAAAATTTATCGAATTTTTAAAATCGTCCAAAAATTATAAAAAAAAAGAAAATTAATATTATAATGATTCTATATGATAGTTAAATGGTCTAAATATGTGTAAAAAAATCAGCGCCAATTAAATTGCCTAACTTTAACTCCAGCACTAACGCAAAAAAATAGCGACATTTCGCGCTGAAATTTACTTAGTAACAAATTGTCTCATACCAAAACTATCAGACCGATTTGGATCGGGTTTTGGGATTTCAGACAGACAGAAAAGTTTGGACTCACTCTGCGTCTGGGAGTTGATGTCTGCCGCCTGCGTCTGCCGGCAGCTTCTTCGGGTCGGTAGTCCACCGCGTTCCGGATCAGCGAGTTCGAAAAGCTTTCTCGCGCTGTCTGATCTCTTTCTAGCATACGTCGACGTGCGTCTTCCATGTCAGCGTGCCATTCAAGGTTATCCCTAGATACTTGACGGTGGTCGCCCACTGGATGTCTTCCCCGTTGAGCCTCACGTGTGCGCTCGGTACCTACCTGCGCTTTCTTTCGGGTTGATCGCCACTTTCCACCTGTTCCAGTTGGCTGACGGCTCTCTGGGTTCAGAGAACGGGTCGAAGTGGTGGTGTCATCGGCGTAAAGGCACACGGTCGTGCGCTCTGTCCTGGGCACGAGGGTTTGTTCAGGTTTTACGCGCGAGTTTCGACCTTTATTCGTCGCCACGGGACGTCTTCGAAGGATATTTTTTACTTTTTAACGCCGAAATTTGCTTTTTAAAAGGGTTCTGCACCTTGCATCTCTCTCGCGAATCCCCAATATTTTCGTAAAGCCGGGATTATTTCGCACAAAACGCTATTTTCGCGGCGTCATATTTTCCTTTATGGATACGACCGGCACCTGTGCTTTCTTCCAAGAGGGAGCCGGAACTTTTCTCTTTGCGTATGAGCCGCTTCCGCGACCCGGCGACGTCCCCTTTCCACTTCCGGGACGCTTTTCCGGTGCCGCGTCGCACCGTTGTCTCTTATCTATATCGCCCTCAACTTTTATTTGGTCAAATATAACAAAATTTAAGACGAGATTAAGAATATTTTGATACAAACTGTCACCGCGATAGAAACGTCAGAATTATCAAAACTGAATTTTCCGATTCCTACGTTCCCCGCGGCGGCAGTACGGCGATGGGCTATTATTTTTATGTTTTATTCCATTCCGAGTCCTTCGCGGGCGATTTTACGGCAGAAAAATGTAATTTTTAACGTTACGAAAATTTTTGTTTAATTCGGCTAAAAACGGGAATTCAAATACCGATTCTGTAAAAATTGACAAACAATATAGTGTTTATACATAGCACTTCATGATGATATTGTTACCACCCCACTGCTCCATTTTAGGATCAGATTACTACTATTATGATGAATGATTATCAGGACAGTGATACTATTGCTAACTTTGCGTGACTATTTATATGAGCAAAACTGTGAAGCTTATAGTGAGGGAATAAGTTTAAGAAAGAAAGCACAAGATTTGGTTTCATTACCTTGGTTAGCAATTTTTTTTTCGAATGACAGTACGTTTGCAGAAATCTGAGATGCTTAACATCTTTGTCTACAGATAAAGACGCAATGTTCAAGGTACATAGATATATATATATATATTGTGAAATTCACAAATTGTTAACAATAGAAGAAAGAGCAGAAACTCAATATCTACAGGAAATAATAAGATAGAATAACAAAAAAATTCAATGTTCAAAGGAAATTGTATAATTGAAATTAAATGATAGCAAAATACTAAATATAACACAATAAATCATTGAATAATAATAATAAACAAGTAAATACCTCTAAATTTTTAAAAGTAAAGCAGAGTAGAAAATGTAAAAATGAAATTTAATATGGAAAACTCATAGAACTAGCCAGTTTGTTATAAATAACAAGATATGAATCAAAAACTTGTAAATTAAAAATACTGAATATCAATAAATTAACACAAATGATACATAAAAAGTTAGCTAATTTAACATACATGCATTGTATAAACACAGAAGATGAGAATAGTAATTTATTTAAATTAATTTCAACAAATACAAATATAAATGTAGGACAGATCGATAAATTTAGTAACGATTATAGTCAGAACTACTTATAGAATAAAAATAAAGGCATAAAAAATAAGAATATGTTAAATTAACTACACTTGCAACAGTACAGTATTGGAAAGCACGTATAAGATCATGAAAATTGTAAAAAAACCAACGGAAGTGACATTACTCAGAATAATATTGAAAAAAAGTAGAATTTTAAGCAGTATAATGTTATAAAACCAGTATATTTACATGAAATGAATAAAAAGACAGTCCCTAGACTATATTACAATACACCAATACTGGTAAAAACAATTTTATGTTAAAATAAGCCGATGAGTTTGACAGTGCTACGATACATGCAAGTTCATAGGACTTAATTAGAATAAATAAATTATCCAGGACTATAAAAACATGCATACAACATGCATTAAAGGATAGAGAGTTGATTTAGATACATAAATTGTAGTTTGAATAGGTAATAATGCTTAAAATTGTAAAATATAGGTAATGAGACATTGAGGTTAAGCTTTGATCGTAATATGATGAAAGGGATATCAATAGAAAGCTGAGAGTACGAGAAATCACAATATGTAAGTAGTTTCGAGATTAAGCCAAGCATAATTCCAAAATTTGCAATTTTATTTTTATAATTTTGAGGCATAATTTATTTCCATAACAACCACTGGAAAATAGCTATTAATATAGGAACCAGACGTCAAAATTAGGCAGTATGTCCATAATCTCCGTAGAGAGCACATGTATAACCTAAAACATTTAAAATAAGTAAAATTTGATAAAATTTAGAAGAAATACATACTCAAAGTTATATAAAGTAAATATCAATATAAGATTTGACATTTGACAGTAAAACAGACAGACCAACCTAGTATCATAATACGTTTAAAGTAACCACAATACAAAATTAGTGAAATTGTAAAATCAGTGTTTGGTATAAG